TCGCGCAGCTGGAGGTCAAGCATGCGTGGTCAGTGCTCCGCTTTGTCCAGGTCTTCCATCTGTATGAAGTTAAGTTCTGTGAATACACATATCCATCCATTAGTTAGACTATCAGGTTTACCGTTTTCATGTGTGTCTGTGTCAGCAGTTTATCTTGTGATGACTAGTCACACCCACTAAGCTTCCATTGTCTAGGGAGGACTTGAAAAATCGATTGACCAATCAGAAAAGGGTGTGACTGTAGGGCCCTGAGTGTCAGTGTGTAGCCAATATGAGACGAGGGCAAAAAATGATCCAGCTGAAATCTTTGATCAATGAACTTGTTGTGGTGTTTAGTTCTGCCCAGGATGACCGACGTTCCAGTAATAGCCGGTCACAGTTTTATTGTAAACCCAGCTCTACTTTTCTTTACTCTCTTGTCAGTGTCTTCTTTCTTCCAGATCAGGAGACGAGGACTGCTGGATCTCATCTGTGTGGTATGTGGCCTCATTAAGCTTTAATGAGGATCACTGCCCCTCCCCCAGTGACCAATCTTCAAGATGTGGTCCTTCAAACCTTTGGCGGTGCGTTTCACTCAAACACTGACGATAAAGTACACAACCCATGCTTATGCGTCACATCGCCCGTTTTATTTGCGGGTCTCTGGCATCATCTTGGAAAAACAAGATTTAAAATCATACAGTAACGAAGCTGTTTTAAAAAATAAGGACAATTTAACAGCGACCTGCGTTCAAAATCCACCTAGTTCAATTTCCTCTCAAAGATAGCAACTGCATGGTTGGAGATAACAAGCAGGCCAGTCCGCAATCCGCCTAATATTGGATTGGTTTTGTGGCAAACACTCGGGAACTCAACTCGTTCCATACGAAATTCGATAAGAATCATTCTTCGCAAGCACTTTATTCGGCGCGTTTTAGTCAATCTCATCTGCCTTTCAACGAGTGACTGAAAGTCGTGTCTGAGGAAGTAAGTTACTTTAGGGAAATCGCTAACAGGTCGATCGACAGAAACATGGAACTAAATGTGTACATGTGGTAAGTAGCGTTGAACGGATTCGTTGAAATATGTAGCAAGCAGTTGGAACAATAATCAAGCTAGTATTTTTTTGGTGAACAAATGATGCTGACGTGGGCTGACCAACAAAATAAAAGAGATGAAATAAACTTTGGATTGGATCACATCTCACAGATTTCAAGACCGCAAGATCAGGGTACCTGTGCCTTGGTACTGCAATCAGGTAAACACATCCGAGCGCCTTAACGGGGTAAGGAGCGATTGATGGGGTCAGACCCAACCCATCGCGCCATCCGTATCTGCATGAGCCCGGTATACAAGGACGGATAGTCTCTAACTTGATGGTCCGGCATTAATTCCCACGGGATTGTTCAGGTGTCACGTTCTGTAGACATAGGCCAGGAAAGCGCGAAAACCCCAGAACAAGATATTGTGACTCGTTCTTCTCGCAGCAGCGAGGGTAGTCAAGGCACTGATGAACAACCGGTATGCACGATGCAGTTGAACTGCCAAACCTTAAGTATCTTGCCACTAGATAAGTTTGAATGTTAAAACATTTGTGATAGAATGACGGCACGGAAT